TTGAACACGTTGTAGATATTTTTAGATTAAATTCCTTCAATAGGATTCGTGAACACTTCTTGCTGTGTTAGTTACATTGAATTCTTTCACCAATTTTCTTGTTTGTTTGTTAATATTCATTACTTCTAACCTTGCCCTGTAAATGGAATTTTCTCCGTTGGGCAATTTAATTAAATAATAATAATAATAATAATAATAATAACAAAACGTTATATCCCGTGTTACTAGTAAAATGTTATTATATTTTGCCAATGTGTTTACGAAAATTTGGACGTTTAAGGAAAGTACTCAAAGCGGATTGGTATACCATAAGTATGTTAATTTTCGGTAAGGATGATTAGCCAAATTTTGATTAGCGTTTAAGCATCTACATAATATTCCTACATGCATATAAAATTTGACAAGGATCGGTTCAATAGTTTCAAAGAATACATGTCTAATAAAAATCGGCACAGACGCTAAGCCGACAGACAGGCAGACAGACAGACAGACAGACAGACAGACAGACAGACGGACAGACAGACAGACGGAAACGAGAGATCACTTTTTTCGTGCTCTATGGGTTATAAAACGTCGAGAAAACATGAAAGTGGCAAGTCGCTCAATGGACCGAATTACTATAATTACTTAGCTTACGCTCGGAAAGTAAAAAGAAAGAAGGCTCTTGAAAATACCCCACAATTTGTACAAATGTGCAAAAGTAAGTAAATAGAGCAAAATAATTCAAAAGCGATTTAACAGAGAAAGAAGTAGAGGAGAGTTCGAGTGAAGACACAGAAGAAAATTTCTGAAAGAGCAGACGAATGATTTAGTCCAGTCTATAAATTACTATTGGCAAAAACGGAACTTACAGATTCTGTGTAGCTTTAATAAAAAATACAGAATGCACAAAGAAGAGCAAAATAGTCGCCTAAGAGTAATACAGATTAATAAAATATTTGAAGAAAAAAAAACAAAAAATTAACTAAAATAAAGCAAACAGCTTTATCAGAATCCCAAGAAGCCTGAATTTACATGAACTTAACGTTGATCAAACTAATGCTACTACATGTTCGTGTCATGAACCGAAAAAAAGAATTACCCTTGATATATTGGAAAGACAAATTTCAAGAAAAATAAATTTAGAGAAACAAAAGTAATTGAGCGAGAACGCCTAAGGGGAGGAAATAACGAAATAACCTGGAGATACTTGTATACTAAGAACACCGACGACCAGACGTTTTAATACCGTCTAGTGGCAAAAAACAATCCAGAGGAGAATGACCAAAGACGGTGATCAAATATTTAAAGGGAAATTTAATAATTTACAAGAACTACAGAATGAAATATCACATTGTACGCGTAAATGTAGAAGCATTACGGAACATTTTCAAAAATATAAAGAGACGAGTGACGGTGAACATTTATTTTCAACTTACTTAAAGAATCTGCGATATCATTATAAACGATTTTTTTTTACTTTGTGTCCATAAAATTGTCACTAGTTTTAATTCAATATGCCGCAGTTTATGCAACCAACTAAACATTTAGCAGCAATAAATGGGATTGCTGCAAAAGTTTACATTCGTTTCTAAAATGAGAGGGTGGTATAAAACTCAACGACGCGAGAAATGAGGTATATTTGCGTTATTTACAGAAAACCGATATTGTTGTCAAGATGCAAAGTAATATATTATAAATGTCAAATAAAATACAAACAAAATTTGAACGACACATTTTTCAATTCAACTTTTGTTTTGTAGAAAATCCATCAGCAGAACTAAAAAAATTAATGAACTAGCATTCGAACTTAACCTTAATAGCCATATTTCTATAGCCATCGCTGAAGTTTAGCGCTTTAAAGCTGAGCTAACACGTGTACACTTTTCACGTCATGTCAAATTTTCTCCCTTTCCGCTATGCGCAGCGCGCAACCTTTCGCTCATAGTTCATACTAAACTAGCACCGCAATAAAAATATGCTGAGAGAGTATTTGGCACTTTGCACTTTAATGCATCGTTCCTCCCGATGTTGCTATTTACACAGTTTATGGTAATGGAAGTGAAAACACGAATCCATATTTATTGTAGCATGTCGGTGCTGGCGATGATAGCGCCAACAGTCTAAACTCCATTCTGCTATTGACACTCCCATTTCACTTATCCCGCAAAAATATGAAACACCGAAACTCGCCTACACCTATTCAAAAATTTATCAGCCCGCAAGAAACAAGAAAAACTTCCCGCAAAACTTGCGACTGCGTGCGCCCATTATGAAACAACTTCAGAAAGCTTTCAGGATCCGATCTTTAATCGCGTAACTCGGGTCGATCTTTAAAGCAGATAACCGCGACTACGAAACAAAGCATTTTTTCGACAGATTAATTGACCGGATATGACGGCGTTTAACACGGCCATGATCTTGTACGACAGCGTCGAGTTTTTGCGACAAATCCGCAACGTCGTGTGCGGGAAACCATTATTTAAGGATCAGGCTGCTCGTCGAAAATTGACATCGCCACGAGATTGGTTTTGTCTCACCACAAGTGCTGGAGATGAACAAGCCGAGAATTTATTATCTGGCGGTGGACATCTGCAGCGTTCACTTATGAGCTTCCGATACTGGGAAGCGTTTCCTTTCGCGGAGTTTGGCTCGAGATTGGTCAGTCAAGCAAGAGAAATGGGTTCGTGTCCTCTCGCGCCGAACGCGTAAGTGATTTAATAAAGGGGAGGAGAGGACGCAAACTTCGTTTTTTAAATTTTCTGGACGAATCGATTTTTGGCATCCCACCGACTGCGCCAACTGCAATAATAAAAATAATAGTATTGGGTCATTCAGGCCGAAAATTTACTCAGAATCACGAAACCACTCTTATTTTTAAAATATCTCGAAAAATACAAACTAACCTGCTTCTTTAAAAAAAAATTAAAGACTAGTCTGTTCGAAAAACTGTCAACTATGGTCGTTCAAATATGTAATTCTTGTACTATTTTGTCCAAATGTCAAGATATTTAAAGACGTGGATTATTTCTGTTAAATATATTATTTCATATATAAAGTTTTTTTTAACTTCACCATATTTTTTTTAAATTCTTAAATTGATCTAAACAAAGGTTACTCTTTTCAAGCATTCTTAAGGTCGCACAAACTCATCTCCTCACATAATACAAGTAAACTTGATTTCTATAAAAAGATCAACGTTCTTAAAATCTGTTCGAAAAACTTCATTTATGTTCTTTCAAATCTGTAGTTCTTGTCGTATTTTATTCAAACATCAAGATTAAAAAAACATAATTTATATTAAAATATGGTTCCTTTTTAACCATCAAATACTGGTCTCTGTAAGTGGGTAGTTAAAGACATGCTGTGAAGAGACATAAAAATTACCTACCTTGGAAAAGAACAGCGAAGAAAACACACAAAAAATTAAAGAACCTTACAAAAAAGGGGCAAGGTTTTTTTAAAGAAACAAATGGTCCAAAATCTTTTGGAGAAAGCCTATTGTTTGTTAGAAAATTTCTTTTGTGAAAAATATGTTTTTGTAATAATTAATATATTTATTTTGTTCTTGACAGTATACGCACATACGTGATATCAACACAAAAATAAAATTATTATTATTATTAGGAGAAATTTTGTACCGGTATTCGATGAGAACGTTTCGACTCTTTTCGTCTTTGTTTACTTTCTGTTTTTGGTGTGTACTATGAAGCTGAAGTTTGCTTCGGAATTTAACAACGCGCGGAGACCCCACCAGAATGACAAAGCTTAAAACAAAAGGAACATTTAAAAGGCACAACCTTTTCGGTGTATTTTGAGTTGCGAACCTTCGAGCGCTAATTGACGAAGGGTTGACGTGGGCAGAGGACATTACCGGTGTGAAGGTCATCTGTGTTAAAATATTAATTTTGTGGACACCATTAAGTATTTGAAATATTGCCTTGTGCTTAGAAGTTTAATATGTAATTTTAAGATCTACTTAAATGTCAGAAACATATATTGAAGTATGTAATAAATAAGAAATAACGAAAAATGCTGAAGAATTGATTTTTAAGAATCCAGAGAATAACAAGAAAGTCAGTGTGGTAGTAACGGAATTAACAGTCAACAGAAAGAATCAGCATGTTTTGAACAAGAGGGAACAAATGTGATCAAAGAACATTCGCAGATACATATAAGCACACAAAAAAATTGACTTTAAAAAAAATATTGCAATGAAGCAGCAAAAAAGATAAGAATAGAGATAAAAAGAAAGAAAAAAGAAGACAAAAAATAGACAGGATTGGATTAGATTAGAAACCTGAAAGACAAAAGAATGTTAATTATTTAATAATCAATTAATACCCATGTCCAATTGTGACTTATACATAGACGTAAATTTAGAAAAGCTACACAACTAAAATGGTTTACAAAATTTATATTCATCCCAGTAAACACAGTTACGTCTTAGCGATGTTAATGCCACTTAACTCTGTCTACGATCTTGTTAGCTGTTACATCCCAAACTGCGTACATTTGCTTTCCCTGTGCTATGTAATGTAATCAACAGTGACCCATGCTTGTAACATACTGGTGACATCCACATTGTTTCAGACTAGAGACGTGCTCGCTGGTACATCATCATAACGTTGTGTTAGTATGTCGCTAGATTCTCTATATTTTGATGTATCTGTTACGTTTTATTTTAAACGCCAATATAACGTATTGAATGGACATAGACGTTACGTATATATCGCAACATCGTAAACATATGACTCTCAGTATATTTTATTAACATGATCTATGCGATATGAATAGGCATTTCAGAAAGTCTAGTTACCATTTAGGGATATGGATATGGAGAGTAAAATTTAGAGCTTACAGTAAATTATTATTTTATTCAATGTTTGAAAAAATATAATATGTAATAAGTAATAAAATACAAAAATTAATATAAATTCATAATATAAATAAATAAATATATATATGATTTCCTAATTCGAAAATAATACAATATAATTTACACTTAAAAAAAGACACAGAAACTATAAACTGTCGTTGTTTTTTCTTTCTTCAGGCGTTGACTAGAATGCCTTAGCCACTCTGAGCAGCGTTGTTCTACTTCTTTTTCTATTGCGGAATGGGTCTTCATTGTAATTTCTTCAAAAATAAAAATTGTAATAATTATATTTATTGCAAAAAAAAAATACCTTTCATAATATTCATTGTTTTTGTCCCAGCCATTTCGGAATTTTCCTACCGAACAAACAAGCTACAGCAAATTCGCTGATTTTTTTTTTTAATATACGCCCCACATTGTTCTTTTTCCCATTACCACCTATCTGGGACAATAGCAGTTCCTGAAATAAGAAAAGAAGAAAATATTTTTATGTGTATATATCGAGTGACTCTGAAATAAGTTCGGAAAATAAAACCACAAGATCACGAACTAGAGAAAATTTTAAGTAATTTCTTTTATCTAGTCCTAATTCAGGGGAAAAAAATATATCAAGATCTACACCTCATTCAGTGCCATTTGTTTTCATCTAAGCAACACACAACAAAAATAAAGAAAAAAATTAGTCACAATGGAAACTCAATAAATCATTGCCGCATCATTTACATTTAACAAGATGTTCCGTATTTGTTTCTTGAAACTGGAGCAGCAATTTAATTACTTTGAATCCGTGTGACAATTAAAGGATTTTTTTTCCCAATCTATTTGGAAGTCACCGCGTATGTATAACATACAGGCTGCTTCACTATAAGACTTTTCTGCAACCCACTATGTATGTAACGTGTTAAGCGAAATGTGTCATGTTTACTAGGTTCCTAAAAAGTGTTATAGTATTACAGGCATCTACCTGTATATAATATCCAAGATTATGTTATATGTAAGTACATATAAATATATTTAGTCCAGTCATTTTAGCATAAAAAATTGATCAACCTCGGAATGAGAGACAATAAGCTGAATTTTTGTATACGCCTTAATTTTGGCGTTCTAAAAGTTGTCTCAAAAGTCTCATAAAATCTCGTGTATGCGTCGTAAGTTATTCAAGGTCAAAGGTCAAGAAAAACAGTTTTTTGCAATTATCTCAGTTTCTATTGTTCTCCAATGATGTTAATAATTATTATCATAATTGTAGAGCACAAAATTTGGGACAAATTTTATTTGAAATATTTTTTCATGCGCTCAATCGTTTTTGAGATAGAGGACAGTGAGCGCGCAGCGCTCATCCATACGTACTGTAATGCAATCAACCGTGAATATCTGTGAATACTACCTTGAATTTTGAATTTGTATTATTAATCAATTAATACATTGTATTTAATAACATTTTACATATTTTCAATATATTCATAGAATAATACTTACCTACTTTGTGTAATTAAAAACTCATTTAATGAAATATTTATTGTATATCTCAATTTATTTATATCTTTAAAACGTGTAAGTTTTTAATACTTATTTTTCTATCATGATTATAACTGGAAGGTCTGGAAACAACAATTCAGGGCACCGAAGATGACGATGATGAAACAGAAATTCCCGAACGTCCAGAAGATGACGGTGAAGAAGAAGAAAATTGATACTTTTGTTCTTTAAATTATTAAAAATTTATAGATTTTCACTGCAATCTAATTTCAATCGTAAGAAATGTACAGCTGCTGAATAAAGATAAAATTAAAATATATTAACTCGTTTTACTTCCTTAAAATTTACTTTGAAAAAATTAATATAACTTTCAGATATATAATAATCTAACCTAAGATATACTTACAATAAATATGTCATTTAAAGAGTTTTTAATTACACAAAGTAGGTAAGTATCATTAAATAAATGTATTGAAAATATGCAAAATGTTATTAACTGATAAATAATACAAATTTTTCAAAATTCAAGGTAGTATTCACAGATATTCACGGTTGATTGCATTACAGTATGTATGGATGAAGGCTGCGCGCCCACTGCCCTCTATCTAAAAAACGATTAAGTGTATCAAAAAATGTTTCAAATAAAATTTGTCCCAAAGTTGTGCTCTACAATTATGATAATAGGTGTTAACATCATTAGAGCAATAGAAACCGAGATAATCGCAAAATAATGTTTTTCTTGACCTTTGACCTTGAATAACTTACGACGCAGACACGAGATTTTATGAGACTTTTGAGACAACTTTTAGAACGCTAAAATGAAGGTATATACGAAAATTCAGCTTATTATCTCTCATTCCGAGGTTGATCGCTAATTTGACTGGACTAATTGTATTTTTTTAACTTACAAAGAAGCCTGCTTGTTGTAGTAGGCAGAGATAATCTTCTAATTCCTCAAAATTTGTTTACCTGTGGTCTTGGCGGCATATCTTCTATTACTGTTTTCTTTTTGATTTGTCACATTTGATGACGTTTTCATATTGGAAATTTGTTCACTCGTTTCCTTTAGAATTTCTTTTGTTTCGCACATATTTTTTGTATTTGTTTCAAGTCTAGAGTAAAATTATGTTCATTAGCACCTTGTTCATAAAAAATTGCAGTAACATACCTTTGCAACATGTTGTGGCAAAGCGCCTCACATTCAAAAACAATCACCGTAAGTTCTTCAAAATCAGCGGGAGTATCTTCAGTGATTAATGGTGGTATTTCCAGCTTGTCTGAAAAAACTGTTGTTGTTATTTACGTACAGTTATCAAAAACAACAGAAGAATGTAAAAATTAAAATGATTACTTCATTAGAATTATATTAACTTACCTACTTAGTGTAAATGAATGAATGGCACAATTTTCACAAAACTGCATTAAAAATGAAGTGAGTTACGGATTCACGAGAAAGGTTCGGTGGTTGTGAACCAAATGGCCAAATGGAATTCGACAGCTTCACTGTGAGTGTGAAGTGCAATAACCATAAATACGGAAAAAAGGGATCGTCCGACTCATAGACAAACCAAACCAACAAAGGTCCGACTGCACCCCCCAAACATCCGGTGGATAGTAAATGCAGAAGTTGAGCGTTATTTTTTCATTAGATAAAATAAATTTAATAATATCAAAATTAACCACTCTCTAGTTTTTTTGCTACTCATCATCGCTTTATAAACGTCTTTATAAAATCAAAATTCGACGAATGAACTCTTCAAAACCTTGTCCCGTTTCAGGGACAATGGGCAAAGAATTTTTATGGCTTTGTTTGTGTCGTTGGGTCTTCCCTATATTACCCCAGATGTTTAAGGTGACCAGACGTTCCGATTTGATCGGAACTGTACCGATTTCAATACTCTAATAATTCCGATTTCAAATTTCGTCCAATAAATGTTCCGATTAAAACATTCGTTCCGTGAATGTTCCGATTTCTATAAATCTGATAAGAATAAAGATAAATCCTTGGATAAATCACTAATTTTCATGAATAGTAATTTTATTTTGTGAAAAATTGGGAACAAAACTTGTATCGATACGGTTGTCAGCAGATGTCAGTACTGTTAGTATATTACAACTAAAAATTTTCAAAGCAGTTATATATCAGATTACGATGGAAATGGAAACTAATGTTCCGATTTCGGACTTTTGAAATCTGGTCACCTTACAGATGTTCTATTTATAATTTGCCAAGCAGGTACTTACAAAATAACATTTCAAGTGAACAAGTTTACAGAAATAATTCTTAGAAATTATTACAATGAAAAAAACTTGTCTTTGGTATATTTCTAATAAAGCCGTTGTATTTTTCGCTCTAAATATAATTATTAATTAAGCATTACGAACTCACTGACGAAGGTCACTTTTTAAAGAATACGACGACCCACATCTAATTGACCATATAATCTTTAACAATAAATTTCAAATAATACCATAGTGGTTTTTTTAAATTTTGATAAGGTGTTGTAAAACTATTTCTGTTACTGTTTTCATTCCAGGTACTGTATTTACGTCGGCAAAGAATGCGGTACGTGGGATTTTAGGGGCGGAAACGTATACCTGCTTAAATACTGTACAGTGGTGTCGAACGAAGACAACAACAGAAACATACCCGATGTATTGGTTATTATTAGAGAGCGGATTTTATGAAATTTGCATATCCGTTATTTTTTGCATATAAATCTTGATATTTAATATGTGAACGAATTATGCTAATTAATAACTGGGAGAGGTTTGGGTTTTATGGTAGTTTGGAGGAACCACTGGGTGTTAAGCCATCCTTCCAGGTAAATTCGGGTCCTAATTACTTTTGGAAATACCGTTCATTTCAATATTTTTGTTCGTTACTTAAGTGTATTAATGGTATGTTTTATGGTGGTCGAAGGGACGTTATCCTATTATTTTTCATCGTGAGTTTGCATTTAAGTATTTAAAGCGATAGAGATGTGTGTCAGTGTGTAGATAACTCAAATTAATTTATGAATTAAACCTTTTCCTGAACTTATTCTTCAAGAAGGAACTGTGTTTTGTTGTGCCTGCTCTAATCCGATAAGTATTTTTACATCTGTGGACGCAGTACGCAGTTTTTTTATTTACAAATACATACTTTAGAATCGCCGGAAAAATTTTTGTTAGAATATTTCGAAAAATATTTAAAAATAAATTGTTACCAAAATAGTAATTAAATAGTCGATTACTACTATTTTTTAATTCGTTCTGTTTACCTATATTTATTTTTGAGTATAAGAATATTATCTTAAAAAATGTCATTTATTTGTCAGTGAGATCTAATTAAACACTTTGCAATGTAATTTATGTATTTTTTGTAATAAAAGGTAAGGTGTTTTTGCAATTTGTAAATAAATTTAGTTCGGTTATTACGCTTTTTTTATTTTTGGAGCATGTGCATGTGCAACTGCATATCTCTGCATATGTTAAGAAAGTTATTGCATATTTGCATAAATTTGATGCATGTCATATGATCATATTTCCCAAAATTTTGCTGCATATTTTCCGCTCTCTAGTTATTATACATACACTCTATTACCGACATTAAAAAAAGTCTACACTATTTCGTCATATCTGCTGCTTTATTATCTGTTTTCAGTTAGTTACATATTGGATATGAAATTAAGTGAATTTTTTGAATAAATAATAATTTAAAGATCAACCACGAAAATACTCAATTATAATTATACATTATCAGTTTATTTTAGAGCCCAAGATTACATTGGAAAAATCTAAACTTTTGAAAATTTCATGTTAAACAGATATACCTATAACTGAATGCGAAAGTCAATACACAAAACTCGATGATCAATTATTGTTTCGTATTCAAATTATTATTTATTTTCCTTACGATCAAAGTGAAGAAATTATTTAATTCATTTTTATTTAAGAACGATATCGCTGACCTTGAAATAGATTAGTTTTTTAATTTCGATTTTTTTCTTTTTGTTGCTTTTGTTGCCGATCAACATATTTTGCATTAGAATTAATAAAATAATGAAATATATCATTTTATTTTTCGAGCTCATTTCAAAATTCTGTATATGTATAATTGTTCCTTTTTGGCAGTGACGCATAGGCAGAGGTTAAAAAATAATGTCTCATTACTAGTCTTAATTCGTATTACCTGTTAGATGGGACATTTTTTAATTCTGATCATAACCTATGCGCATTAAGTCTCTTGTTCTGTTTTATAAAGCGCAGGTCGTTATGAACATATAAAAATAAAATTATAAATAAATATAATTACAGGAAATATAATACGAAAAAAAAAAAAATTAAGAGCAACTCACTACTGGCGTCATCTCGCTTGTGTAAGATTTAAGACAGAGAAGAAATTTCTTTTTTTAAGACTCAGCATCTTTTGTTTATGAATATACTATTTACCTGCAACACAAACATAAATAATAAATATAAAATAGAGCTATATAATACTCGATATGTATGTTTTTAAATGTTTTTTGCTGTTGCCCTGTCAGAAACGTTAATTTTCGATTTAACATGCCATTTTGTAAAATCAACTGAAAAACACTTTGCATAATTAACTAATAAAAATAAAACATTCCGAAGCATGTATATATATATATTAATCAGATATCTAGTAACTACAGTTAACATTACTTATTGGTTACATAACCGTAGTACTCCATTGTGATGTTACAAGGCTTACCTGCCAACTATATCGCTGCGACACAATAATGAGATATCTAGTAAATGCAGTTAACATTAGGTGTTAGTTACATAACAGGAGTACCACAGTGTGATGTTTAAATGCTTATATGCAAGCTATATTGCTGCGACATAATAATGAGATATCTAGTAAATGTAGTCAACATTACGTGTTTGTTACATAGCATGAGTACTCCATTGTGATGTTATATAGCTTACGTTCCAGGTATATCGTTACGACATAATCATGCGATGTACTTATTGTTCTTTTGTGAGTACGTACCTGACACGTCAACATCACAACTGTGTTTACTGGGATTCATAGCAACTCTTACATGTCAGTTTTTGTCAACCTGTTCATGATGTTGAAAATGCCATGACGATATGGACTGCCAAACTATTCCCTGTCCTGACAAAACCAAAATCATTTTCCTTTAGAAAAACACTTTTCAATATAGCTTGAAGCTTAAACCGGAAATTCACGTCATAACCCAAGAAACATTTTTGCAATTTTTAGAAATCACAAAATTTGTGAAAAAATGGAGAAGATTTTTTCAAAATCAAATAGGACCTGAGAGTTTGATTTGAATTTCGATATCAAGGAGATACCTACTAACATGATTATGATATATTAAAAGCAGAATTAACAGATACAAAACTACCGAATAGAGATGACCCCGACATAGAAAGGAAATAATGAGTATTCAATAGAATTGATGTTATCTTTTGTTTGAATCGTACGTTCTCGAGATTTGTGATCTCGCTTTTCAGTTTTTGCTAAACCCTGAGATCTATTTGAAGAATCCCAAAGATACAATCAGGTCAAATCCATTCAGTTCTGTTCTATCGTTCTTTTCTTTTTCCTTACACAACTTACAAGTATTTATGTAAAGGTCCTTTAACTTGTATTTTATGTTATTTAGATTATTTCAGATAATGCCGACTACCGAAGTATAACCACGTGAATACGACGCCATGCATCAGCATTCAGGCGCTTGTTTCGCTTTTTCTTAGCAGATACTAGTCCCGCCCACCCACCTTCTCTTATCTTAGAGGATATGTCATTTGCCAAAATCAGTTTTATCTTAGAAGGTACTAGCCCCGCCCACCCGCCCGCTCTTTTCTTAGAGGGTATCTCATTTGCCAAAATCAGTCTTATCTTGGCAGCTACTACCTCCGTCCACTCACCTTCTGTTTTCTTAGAGGATATGTCATTACTAAAATCAGTTTTATCTTAGCAAATACTAATGACTAACTTACAGTGACAGTCAACAGAAAGAATCAGCATGTTTTGAACAAGAGGGAACAAATGTGATCAAAGAACATTCGCAGATACATATAAGCACACAAAAAAATTGACTTT